TCGCCTTTGTATTATCAAATTATTCTTCAACAGTAGGTTGCTGAATACTTTTCTTCAGTTCTAATTTGCTTTAGTGGGTCAGGAAATGTACCTGGATGTGAACATCTACTGAGCTTGTGCTTCCTGACCCTTTTCTAGGACCCTTGGTTACTGGTATTTTCAGCTGATTAATTTTTACTACATTGAGAATTTCCAAACAAGATTGGCCTGCTGATTTCTCTCAAGTCTGTATTTAAAAAGTTGAAATTTTATTTATCTATTGATGGTTGTGTATGTGTGTGAGTGTGTGTATAGGACATTGGGTATGCTCTGTGGCCTTACTCTTTTGAAACAAGGAGTGGGAAACCCACTATTTCAGCTAGGCTGGCAAGAAAGCTTTTAGGGTCCGTTTATTTCCACCTCTCCCTATGTGGGGATCATTATCATGTGTGTCACGTCTTGTGGTTTTGTTAGGGTGTTGTGCAATCAAACTTAGGTCTTTATGTTTGCAGAACACATAAGCTTACCCACTGAGCCATCTCCCCAGGTCTAGGAGTTCAAATTAGTACTTTAAATTATGCAGTGTAAAAAGAATTTTCATATCAGTATTGACTAATCTTAAAAAATGATTTGATAATCAATACATAAAATACAGTGCCATTTTGAAGTGTTTCAAATGAAAAATATAATTAATGATCAGCAAGAAAATAGATTAATTGTATTTAATGTGTGCAGCAGCTCGTAATCTCTCCAATCTTCATGTCAGCTAAGGAAGCTCCTGTGGTTCTAGCATATGCAAGCACGCAAGGCTAGGTGGTGGGAAGGTAAACGCAGTCAAAACCTGTTCAATCCCCCCCCCCCCATCACCATCAGACAAAATGTTCCAAACTTTAGTTCTGGCTGGTACCTCATGGGGAAGGATTCCTTAGCATGGGCACCGAGGTGCCTCTCTTACCTCATGATACTAAGCTCTATAAGACATATCCTGGTCTTTTTATTTTTTTTAAATAAAACACAACATTGTTCATTTGATATTCTATTCAACTCTGATATATTTTATCTATAGGAAAAAGGAAAACCATTCCTAGTAGACAGGCTTATATCCAATTCTGACACAAAGTGTATCTTTAAGACTTCCATGCACACAAAAGAGTTAATCTTCAAAGAGGCAGGCTAACTAAAGAGCAGAAAGAGATTAGGATGAAGTGAAAGGAATGAAATACATGACAAGCATGCAAAAAATGCCATGGTGAAAGCTGTTATTCTGTACAAATCATATACACTATCTAAAACACAAAAAGAAATTGGGTATGAAGAAAAAGAAATTCATATATATATATATATATATGAATTAAACTGAGAAAAAGTTGTATCATCCTTACATAGTTGCTTTGTACTTAGTTAGAATTTTTTCTTTCTCCTAAGTGACTGCCTTTGTAGAGGATGGGTTTCTATGCCTGCTAAGCATAGTATGGTTACTGGCAGCTGTTGAAAGCCAAGGGGCTTCTCTAAGAAGAAATATGGTGCACATTCTACTACAGTTTTTCTTTATTAAGGAGCATAGAGACATTGTTCCCTTCATGTAGGGAACACAAAGAAGCCTATTGGATTTTCTGAGTCTTTATGATTTTTTTTTGCTATACTTGTTCTCTCTCTCTCTCTCTCTCTCTCTCTCTCTCTCTCTCTCTCTCTCTGTGTGTGTGTGTGTGTGTGTGTGTGTGTGTGTGTTTTAAGTATAATTTTAACTGTGAGACCAATTTATTCCAGGCACTGTAGTTGTACAGGGGGATCACTGAATGTGTGTGGTTCTCAGATTTTCTAAAATAGATGATGAATTCTAAATTCATTCAGCCTTCATAACTGAAGTGCCTTACAGTTAGCCATCTTCCACAGAGGTCATCTTTATCAAACATACCTTATCTTAATGTGTACTTAAAAGTCTTATTTCAAATAATATAGAAAATCATCTAAATAAAAAATACTCTAGAAAGAAACTATTCTACAAAGACTTTGGGGAGGGTTGAGAACATAGTCAGCCAATTGCTGTACAAACAAACCTCCAAACATGATACTAAAACAAAACCAAAAATCTTTGAAATCTACCTGAATACTGTTTAGAAACAAATCAAGTATTTAGTAACTAAGCCAGAATAGTTTCTCAGCATTGGCTTGGCAGATACCATATTTACCATAACTGAATGTAAGCCCTACCTTTTACTACATCCAGTAGAAGCAGATTTCATAAATAACTCATGAGACTTTGGTAACTGCCTGTTGCAAGGTAACAGGAAAGTCGAACTGAAAACAGTACCTTGACTTCAGCAGAGTTCATGACAGGACTTGGTTGCTGGTCTTTAAATCCTTGATAAAGAAAACTTTCTAGAATATCAACATTGACCACATGAAATGCTCAATCATAATCGTACTCTGAAGAGTACGGAATGCAGAAGAGAAAAGCAGAAGGAAGAAGAGAGATGGATACAGTCTCCCATCCCTGCACCTGAGGACTAAGGATGGAGCCTGAGGCAGTAGATCAGGGCACATGATAGCTAGACGATACTGTGATTTATCTTTCTGCTTCCTCTTGGTTCTTTAAAGTAAAATGATAATACTTGTCTTGTAGGTACTGTTCAATCAAGCAGTATTATCTAGTATATCTACAAAGCCTGGAGTGAATGTTAATTAAAAAAAAAACATGTAAAGTAGTACAGTATTAGTGCCGAGCTTCAAAGTAAGTTATCGTTTATCAAAATTTAAACTAATATACAGATTATTCTCTAAAAATCACATATTATAAATATTGCTGACATGAATAATATGACAAAGAGATTCCAGAAATAATGGTGTTACCCCATGGTTTTAGTTATATGGAAGAAAATGTAGTACAGGTTCTACCCTGCAATATCAAGAGTCAAAGGGCATAGGGAAACTTGATACAGCTTGTGCTTTTCGTTAAGATAAGTGTAAAGGACAAAGCCAAACTTAGCCAAGGTGCTGGCTGATGTGTCGCACAACTGATATAAAGGTATATCAAATGAACTATTTTATTTTATAATGACTTTCCTTCCTTCCTCCCTCCCTCCCTTCCTTCCTTCTTTCCTCCCTCCCTCCCTCCCTCCTTCCTCCCTTCCTTCCTTCCCCCTCCCTCCCTCCCTCCCTCCCTCCCTCCCTCCCTCCCTCCCTCCCTTCTTTCCTTTCCTTCTTTCTTTCTTTAATTTTATGTGTGTTGTCTCTATGTGTCTCCATGTGTATTGTGTAGTACACATGCTTGTGTGTGTGCACTTGTGTGTATCTGAGTATGTTACTGTAAAGGAGCGGGGGGGGGGGTGATGTCAGATGCCTTCCTCAATGGTTCACAGTCTTTCTTTTTGAGATAGGGTCTCTTCCATGAACCTGCATCTTAACGTTTCTGCTAGACTGGTTAGCCAGTGAGTTTCAGGGACCTGTCTGTCTCTGGTCCACTGTTCTAGGATTACAGATGTTCACAGGCTGATTGCATGGGTTCTGGGACTTGTACTCAGGCCCACAGGCTTTCATAGAAGGCACTTTTCCCTGTGAGTCATCCTCCAGCCCCTCAGGTGCTTTAGCCACTATCTCTGCTTTTATTACCTTATCTAGTCTTTGTTGGTCCCACCAGTTTATAGTCCACAGCAGCAGAACCAGGTTACTGGTGAGCAAACACAGATCTACTTGAAAGGATCCATTCCTAAGAAAGTGAATTCACTGACAGTGATTGCTACAGCCCACTAGGAACTGGGCCAAGGCTTCTTTATTGTCTTGGCAGCATTATTGGTGTCTTAATTGAGATGCAATAAAGAAATTTTAATTATTAACCTCAGTAAATAAGACTATAAAATTTGACTAATAAATAAATAAGTAACTAAATAGCAAGAAGTTTTATCAGGGCCCCAAGCAGTAAAATAAAAATCAAAGCTACTTCATATTAATCACTTAATTCAAATATCAAGTCAGTCATTCAAGTGAGAGAACTCAGCAACATCTGTTGATGGTATCCTCTCATTACACCCTTTCTGAGCTTCAGAATGCATTTCTCTCCTCTGCACATGCCCTGCATCCAGGCTGTGAACAGTGGTCATTCTCATCAGTGCCAAACTGCAGTACGTCTCCCAGTGTCGAAGTAGGTTACCGACTGCAGTCCCTTCATTTCAGCAGAAGAAATAGATGCAGAAGAATGGTTTTTGTTTGCTTGTTTGTTGTGTTCTATTTTAAGGCTACTAACTAAAATAGAAACTTAGTGTTACAGTGAGGACCAGAATGAAGACCTGACTCTTGGGTCCCTACTCTTTTCAGTGCTCGTGTGTTCTATTGATTACACCATCAGAGCAGTTTTAAAGTCTCCTTCCAACTCCCTCTTCTTACCCTCACTGTGTTGGCCCACATTTAATTAGCATGATCCTAACTTGTGTCCTATTGTTGGTCTGTGAGACAATGCTTGGCTTCTGAATCATAATGTCACTGCACCTAAACCAGTGCTCTGAGCTTTTAAAGGTATCTTACCCTTTAGAAAATCACAGATAAGTGAACTTTTGTTTGTCTTTTACATTAATTGCTTGCTGGGATATACTTACATCCAATTCCTAAATAGTCATTAAGGCAGTCATTTTCTGGATATATTTACTTAGCACGTATTTCAAATTGTAATCACTAAACGCCCACATTAATTTATGTCCTTACTTAAGAAACTCATTATATAATACATTTCTTTAACTAGCTATATAGAGACATGCTTTTATTATGAGCAAGTTTAACTAGTTTACAGTGTTCTAGTATGAAAGAGTTGAAACATGTAGACAGGACATCCTAGAGTTCAGCTGTGCATTGACATCTAATGTACATTCAATCAGATGCAGTAGAGTTTATCTGTCACCTTGCACCCTACTTTGCTCAAGTATGAGTAAGTGCCTTCCATGCCTCATCCTGGCTATATATTAGGATCTGCTCAGTAGCATGTAACCTATAGCACGAAAGAGGTTCAAAGTTGTTTTTCAATTCCAGCTTACCCGGATGTGTAATGGTGTCTGTGTTCCTTTGTGTTCGTCCTATCAGGATAGTGGTCACGTTCACTGTTTTCTTAAGAGGATTGGGTTTCTTCTGCAGTTTTATTTGCCTCTGAGGCTTGACAATATTTGCCAGACTATCAGATAACAATCGATCAACTTTCCAAGTTAAATTAGATAAGGCAGCTTGAGTTTTTATTTCAATTATTGATTCCACAAATTCTTTCAGACTTTTCTGAGAACTGTGACTGTCTGGCAGAGAGTCTTTGGTCCACATGGGTATGGATGCATTCTGTCCATATGTACTTATAGAAGCATTATGGCATGTCATTGAAAGCTCATGGACAGTTTTATTAAGCAAAGAGAAACTCACTGAAAGATGGATGGATTTTGCTTCCAGTGCCTTAAATCTTGTATTTAATACCTTCAGCTGAAGATCAACATCTCTCTCATTTGATAGTATTCCACCTTTTTTAAATGAAATATAGTAAGGTATGAGTGTCTTGGTAACTTTAGATTCAATGCCTTGTAAACGAGTTTCAATCTCTTTGGCACTCTTTGTTACTGAGAGCATATTTTCTCCTAAATAACTCATGTTTTGCTGACATTTGTTCACCTGGGAAGTGGTTTCATTGAGCATTTGATAAATCTTTTGAAAATTTAACTGGCTTAGTTTTTCATCTTTAGGGATAGCTGTAAGGGCTTTAGCAATTTGCAAAATAAAATTGTATTTCTGATTGTCATTGACCAAAGTCTGAATAGAATCATTCAAATGCCGGAATTCAGAAATAAATGTTAAAATAGTGTCCGTATTTTGGTTACACTCACAAGCCTTGGGATTATATGTCGTAGCACTTAAAGTCTCCTTTAACACATAGTTATCTTGAACAAAATCGATGGCATTGTTTATAACAGTCATTGTCTTATTTAGGCCATCTTCTGTTTCTAAGGCATGGTCACTGATGCGTCTTTCAAAGGCTTCACCTTGGCTTTGCACTTCATTTCTGAGTAAGTTGTGTCTTTTTGTAAGTTCTTTGGTAAGGACATTCAGTCGGTTGATGGCACCGATCAGGTTTTGTAACTCTCTGCGTGTAACTGTGGGTTCCTTTGGCTCACGTATAACCTGCTGTTGAAGTGATGACCTCTGCTCCAGCAAAGGCTGGAGGATCTCCATATCATATGTCAAATCATTCAGCTGTTCACTCATTTTATCCACCTTTATGTCCATGGGAAAGATAACCTCAGATAATGTTTGATTTAACACATGCAGATTTTCTTCTGTGTCCCTGAGTTGAAATTTAAAGTCATTCCTGCATTTAGATAGCATTTCTTCACATTCTCCCCTGGCTGATTCTTTCTCTAGCTCCAAAAGGATGGTCAGGTTGCTGATCTTGCTCTCTTGGACATGCAAATCGCTGAGCATCTGCAGGAGCATCAGACCTTGCTTGCTTGCTGTCTCCTGTAGCACAGATATATACTTAGTGACATTACTGTTGACTGATTCCTCGGTGGCAACATTCTTTGTTCCCGATACTTGTAGAACTGATAACAGCTGCGTGTGCGCTTCTTGCATTTTAGAGAGAGTTTCATTGAGGGATTGGTGATACAGAACGATCTGTGAGTGCTCCTGTCTTAGTGCTCCTTCCAAATGAGATTGCTTTGCTTCCAGTTCCTTGACAGGCTTCTCACAGGTCAAAGCCATTTCCTGCCTAATGTTCGTGATGCTTTTCTTTAGATCTGTGATGTCCTTCCATGTGGGTTGATTTTCTTGCGTTAAAGCAGAGTCTTGCTGGGCTGTCACTGAAACAAAGGACTGGTTCACTTGTAGAACTGCCTGCCTGGTACTTTCCAAGTCCTCTGATAGACGTGACACAGTCTTGAAGACCTTAGCAATAGTTTCCTGCATGTCATCTTGGAAGACTTTAAATTGTTCTTTTACTATATTTTTTAGCAGATCATCAATACTCCTTGATTTTAGAGCTATAGAGAACAAGATAATAAATAGTAAACACATAAGTTTTAATCAGAAAGATGCATGTGTAGAGAGATTAAAGTTTTAAAATCAAACACTAACTACATGTATTAATGAAAATAATTTTTCCCCATGTACATTTATGACATTTGAAAAAAATTTCTAGAATTCATAAGAGATAATCACATTCTTGACAGAAATCTGACAAAAAAAAAGTCAATTACCAGTATACACCAATGATTCTGAAGACAAAAGGCAAAAGGAAACTGCTATTCACTGCAGTGACAGAGGCTGCTCTATGGCAATCCCAGGTCTAGTTGTGATGAAAACAGGTGGGGCTGTGTTTTTTATATGAGTAAATACCTGGTGTCAGTATATGAGTCTATTGTCAAGTGTCTAGTAATTAGGTGCAAGGCTTACATTGCGAACTCACGAGTGTTCGAAAATCACAGAGAAAAACTTAAAACAGTGGACGGAAATATAGATATAAGACTTCAAAATTGTTTACAATAACAGGTAGTAAAATTAGTTGTATTTACAAAATGAGTGACACTCACATTGCAACAGGAATTTAAGATGTGTTTATTACATGACATTTACTTTTGGCATAAAAAGAAAGAAAAAGTTGCCAGTAATGAACACATGATAGCATTTCTAACACTTAGAAATATATCTGATCATACACTGAAACTGTGTGAAACAAGAAAGAAAGAAAGAAAGAAAGAAAGAAAGAAAGAAAGAAAGAAAG